TCCTGCCTCTTTGGAAGCATCCCCAAAACCACCCAGCTGAAGGCCATCATTGTATTGTCTCAAGAAGAGTCATGTTTTCCTTGGCTGCTGCACTCATTGCTTGGAGGGAAGGTCATCTGGGCATGTCACAAGAGTCATGTCCACTCCCCTTCTTTTCAACCCTTCCTTCTGCCATACTCTGCAATGCATGGATGCAGAAATATCCCTCAGTGGCCACCAGTGCAGCCCACTGCATCCCTCCCCAGGGATGGAGCACATCTAGTGTGCTCTCCCTCCCTGCCACAGTTCCAAGGTGCCTTTGTGCCTCTCTGTTCCATGTCTCAGCTCTTGCTTTCTCTCCACTTTTAAGCTTCAGAAATATTTAATCAAGGGAGGGTTTACATTTAAACCAGTGCAGCAGGCGAAGCTGCATGCTGGGGGGCACTTAACCCCTACTACATGCTACTTGCTGAGTGCGTGCTCCAACCACTGTGACTGCACTTGCACTATCAGTCAGCTGCCCTGTCCACTACACCTTCTTGCAAGAGCAAGTAGAGAAACTAAAAAGGAGAACATTTTTAAAAATAAAAATCAATCTACTTTCTGTCTCACTCTCTTCACAATTCTTTACAAGTAATGGTTAGACCTAATGTTGGGAAGGATGGATAAATATAATTATTCATAAATAATACAGCCAGGATGAGAACAGTCCTCCCTGCTAGCCGGACAATGCCCTTGCCTACGGATGGGTCCAGGGGTCAAGTGGATTGTTCCATCTCACCCCCAAAATGTATGGTTCACCCCACACCTGTATCCCTCCCTAAAACATCAAGTGCCTGTGACCCCATTGGCCCAAGCCTTGTTCCAGCCCACCCTGAAGCCCCCTGATAAGGGGTCTCTGAGGGGCCAGACCCTCTCTTGGATCTTCCCCCTCATAGGACCTCCACCCTCTCCTAGAGCATCCTCCTGTCTCTCCCCTCCTCCATCTCCTTAAGCCTTGCCATGTGCTGCGTCTGGCAGCTCGAGGCAGGACCTTTCTGCGTCCCTAATAAACCTTATACCCCAAGAGCAGCCTTCAGAGATCTCTTGTCTCCATTCACCTAAACCGTCCTGGAGCACAGCGCTCCCTACAACCTAATATCTTCCATTCAGAATAAATAACAGTTGGAGTTATTATCTTGCAGCACAGCACTGAAAGTCTCTTTACCATGTGAAATCTCTCTGTAAAGTAGTCTGAGCTGAGAGTGTACAAGCTCATTAAACAAACAGGGTGACAAAACTGTTTCCTATTCTTATAATGCTCTTTATAAGCCATTATTCCCCTACTGTTCTATAGGACAACATATCATATGCAAAACTTTGTGAGCAGCAGAAACCAGGTAAAAACAGTTGAATTTGGTAAAAAGGTTCCCTTTCTATTTTGACTGTTTCAATTTAATTTTCCTATTATTTGCTTACATTTTGAAGGAACACGACTCTCCATTAAACCAGAAATGAGAAGTCCTCTACTTAATTAGTTATTTCCCTGACACTTTCTTCCCTTGTATAAAGGTTGAAACATTTTGCAGTTTTGAAGTTCTTCTCTATTTCACTGTGTTTAGGGTATTACTAGGAAAAAAAAACTCATTGTAGCCAGCAAAAACACCTTATTTTTGATGAAATTACTTTTCTAATCAGGCATTTTCCCCCTGAAAATCTCTGGCCATCTCTCTGAGGCTAGGCTCTGCTGAACTGTAGCTGAGGTTCCTCATCGGTGACTGTGCCTTAGGCATGGGGCTGGGGCCCAGTAGATGGCCCCCTTTGACAAGGCTCCACCAAGCAGGTCCTCCAGAGCTCATCTCACACCACCTCCCCAGCACCTCTACCCAACAGGAGCCCAACATTTTGAGATGACTATTGATTTTATAAAGATTACACCAAGCTACACTCACCAACAGTACAAAATGAAAAATGTGCTGTCCTGCCTTCCTGATCAGCTGGTATTTCATAAACCTGTAACACTTCCTACCCTTCAATAGGAAAAGGAAATCCTACTCACATCACAATTTTTCAGATTTTTCTTTCACCAATAAAAATTGTGCATTCCCTGTATGAGAAAAGCTCTCTCTCCTGCTCTGTTATTACAGAAAGGTTTTTGTCTCTGAGTAAATCCAAGATGTAGGACTCCTTTACTGTATCAGCAGTATTGTATTTTAGCAACATTACCAGTACTTCTTAAACTGAGACTGACAAACTCTTACATCGTCAAAGGATCTACTACTTCTCACAACCAATCTCTCTTCACTGAGGAATCAATAAAATAAACATTTGTAATTTCATAGGGAATTTCTAGCCCTGTAAGAAGCAAAAGAAGAAGGTGCTATAGCAAATTCAGGAGCTGATTCAAAGACAGCAAAGGTAATGCAAAGTTATCACTGCTATCAATACGTTGTGATCAGATGATTATCTTTGATCTGTCAAATGGCATTTGATTTCTATATTCTAACCTAGAAAAAGGTAATGTTTCTAGGATGTGAAAAATAGCATGTTTCAAGTGATTCCAGTGAAATTTTCCCCCCCACACCACAGCTATTACCCAATATGGTAATATTTGCATATATGAGCCAGACAATGCATTCTTTGCATGGTTTCATTTTCTACTCAGATCCTGAACCTTTGGGCCCTGATTACATTAAGCACATACTTCATTGTCACTCCCATTTTTCTTGGAGCCAAAAAAATAGGCAAGTAAGAAACTTAAAGGCATTTTCCTGAATGAGACAAACTTTCAATGAGAAAGACTTCAACTTCAGCAGGGACAAAGTTAATTTGCATTAAATGCTGATACAGCTTCCTTGAGTGGAAGCTACACTCTCACTCCAGCTGAGAACCTGGCCTTACATCTACCCATATCAAAAGGTACTGAGCAAATTGATTTTGCTCTCCTGGAGACTTTAACCAAAAAATATTCATTCTGGCCATGCTGTTTTCCACCTGTGTCTCTACCTCTGATTATCCATTTGCTCTGGTTACATCTGCACAGGCAATTTAACTCACTCGTGTCCATACAAAATGTCTTTACGTGGCTCAGAAATTAAATCTATCTCTTAAGCTCTGGCCTTTCTGGAATGCTGGCACCCTGGTACTCTATAGATATGCCATATGGATACAAAAAGTGGCCAGGGATCTGATCCCAGGCAGGAACGTGTCCGGAATATGCTTTAGTCATATCAAAGCCAGTTTGTTTATGTACGTCTGGCTCCCAGGACAACTTTCCAAGCCCTTCAGCAGGCCCAAATCTTTTAATACCTCAGATTCCCAACTCTATTTCCAGACATGTTCCTGAACTTTGTTCTGTCTGTCTTTCTGGAGAGGTGCTGAGTAAAGAAACTAGACAGATAGCAGAAAAGTTGACGCAGAGGAGACAGCCAGTGGCTGAAGTGGCTGCAGTATCCCAGCTCTTTCCTTCACCCCTCTTTGGACCCAAGAATGACACCCAGATGGTAAATGTAAGGATTTGCACATAATGTTCCAAAGCCTGGAATCAGTACTGTGGGTAAACATGCTTTAAAAGAGCTCCCATGACCCTTGAGTTTTCAGTATTTCTTTTGTCTTGCCCTTCCTTCCCCAGAAGAGCCCTGGAAGTAGGGGCTCCTTTTTTATAGTCCCCCTGACTTACACTCTGGTCTTCATGCAACTCTTTCTGAAAACGTGCTTTCTTCCCCATCTAAGCAGGGAATGTTGTAGCAATTTTATTTTTTTTTTTTTAAGTGAAGTATGCTACACTGTCCTGTGAACCACTGCTGACTTTGAGAGGCACTGAGCCCTTGCTGCCCAGTGGCATTTGCTAGCACAGAGAGAGGAATGGGAAGCAGTGGTGGCTGTTGGGAAGCATGTTGAAATTCCAGCCTGGATGCCTGAATCATATGGCTTTTCTTTACAGATTTTTAGCTCTTGGAGGCCAAATGTGTCGCATCTGTTCTGTGTACATTTGAAGGTTTCATTTATCACCACACTGCAAAGATGCAGAGATACAGAGAGGTATCTCTGGTGATTAAAGGAAAATCTGCCATGGAGTGTGTTCTAAATAAGTAAAAAAAAAATCCTCTCTTGAAAATACTGGAAGGATAAGGTTAAAAGTTTCCTATCTCAGTTACCAATATGGAGATGGCATAATTATTCAGCTGTTTGCAAAGTTACCTCTCTACATCTTATAAAGCAGAGCAATGTCTTGTGACTGGCATCAGATGGGAAACCTAGAGCACTTGCATGTGATGAAAAGTGCTGAAAGGACAGTCCCAGAAAATTAAGTCCTTTCTGACCCACAAGGGATGATCAGCAATGGCAGCCATCCTGGGCCATGCTGTTCACTTGGATGAATTAATTCTCTGAAGAGTAAACTCAGCCACCACTTTCTAGCCTTGTCTATGCCTCTCTGCAGAGTCAGACAGAAAGTAGTTTCTGCCACTTTTACTATAGTTCAAGGATATTTTGGCATCACAATCAAGATTGAGCAACTCTCTATTTATCATTATTGAGTGTTTATGACAGAACCACTGTTTTTGAGAGCTTTTTTAAGAAAATATGGAAGGAACATATGGAAGATGTCATTTAAATGGTCTTTAGAAATGCCTGGATCACTTAGAAAGAGAAAAGGCAAATTTAAGGTCCCTTCTTCCCGAGCCTTTCTGTCTTTGTTTTCAGCAGATGTCTAACTTACAAAGGCTCATCACCATAGGCTATCTGAAGTCTTCTTTCCACAAAAAAGAGATAGAGAAAACTGGTATTTCCTCTTACAGATGAGAGACTATGGTATGGAGAGACTACTGCACTTCTCCTAGGTAACACAGCAGATGTACAGCACAGAATGGAGCATCACCCGAATCTGTAGAGTCCTCAGCTAGCAATTTTCCTCACAAATCAAAGACAACCAGGCTGATGAGATGCAAACGTAGCTCCTGGAATCCTACAGCAACTCCAGCACTACCATACCCCTCTCTCCTTCTCCTGCACGCAGAGAAGAGCAGAGAACTACTGCTCACCTGGTGGGTGCATGCTTCTGCTCTTCCTCTTCGTCCGTGTCGCTGCTGATGGTGATGACGCTGACGGCGGGGCTGGGGGTGTCGGGGATGACGATGGTCTGCCGCTGCCGCTCCCGCGTGCTGCTGCTGGCCACGTCACCCCAGCCGCAGGTGACCGAGGTGCTGCAGGCAGGGCTGTTGTGCACCATGGCACAGCGGGGAGGGGTGTTCTCCTTCACTCGTTTCGACCGCTGGGGCGAGCTGATGGACTGGGAGGATGAAACTTCATAGGTGGATGCGTTGCTGGAAATGGGGAGAAGCGTTAGTTGGTTAAAACTCTGCATGCTTAAGTCGCCTGTTGGTGTGGTTTGTGAGTCCTGGTCTCTGATTCAGTAGCACTGATTTATGGAGTCTAGGAAAACTGTAAAATTGGCACAGTCACTTCTTCAAAGACAGTGCCTTGCACGACTTATTCGCATAATTGGCTGAAAAGTAGTTTCTTTTAATAAAAAATTCAAATTCCTTAGAAATTTCCGGATGAGAATTGCTGCCTCTCAGGAGTTTGCACTGGGGGGGTAAAGGCCAGCCACAAAGCTCAGACATACAGAACAAAGGCAGGCACAGCATGGCTGACACAAGATGAAGAACCACCCAAATAATAATCCCTTCCTCCTGCATCCTACATGGAATGCATCATGACCAGATACTTTTTGGCCAGAAAAAAAACTAGAGGTAAAACTAGAATTTGTTGTGGAAAACCACAATCACTTATCAGGAAAACTGATTTTTTAAACATAAATAAATTGCTGTTTAAGAATCTTTCTCAATGAACATTTTCTGCTCAATACTTTATCCTCTAGGACAGTGGTGTCCCATGGATGAGAGCAGGCGGATGGGAGGACATATATTAAGTTTCATTCCTGTGTGAAGTAGCATATAACATATATAAATCAGAAAGAAATAAACATATATTTATTACACAGTAGAGAAACATTCCCACAGTAGAGAAACAGTCTTCCCTGTCTGACCAGTCGGAAAAGTGCCACTTGGATCAGGGATCCAAGCACAAAACTATCAGCCAAACAGTGCAGTGTGGGTCTACAGATGGGGTTATTTACCAAAGCACACTGACTAAAGCCCACTTCACTCATTTCCCACACTTCCTTTCTTGGTCGTGTTTCTTTTTTGCGATTGCAGAACATCTGGAGATTTAAAAAGGAAGAAAACCCCAAAGTTCTGGTTTTGTTCTACTGTGGGGCCTGGGCTGCATGTTCAGCCTGGCCCGAAAGCTAACAAAAGGAATAGGTGGCATCCATCAAAAGGAAGTCACCCTGGCAGTATATCACACTACACCAACTTACACAGGCTCTTTTGCATAACAAATGGCTGCACAGTGGCATTCAAAGTGCTTTTGGAATACCAATGAGCAGCATGGAGTACCCTCCTCTCCAAAGGAGCATGGTTCCTCATTTGGCACAAAAAGAGTCACAGTCAATGAAGCTGTAGAAACCCTTTGCTCTCAGAGTGCCCCATTCCTCCTGGACACAGCCACCCCACCCTAAAGTGACAGGAGAGGGGAGGCCCTGCGCAGGCACACTGGCTGCAACAGGCACTCTCTTTTGCTGGCTAGCTGGGGACAGAGCTGCCTCTCTATGTTATGAATAGACTAAGACAGCTGGAGCCCACCCAAAGTAAATCCAACATTAGAGAGCAGATAAATGGGAAGGACTTAAATAGTGGCCTCTTAACTTGAGTTGAACTGGTTGCGAACTCAGAGCCGCTCTGGCACCAGTCCAGTCACCCAGGAAAACCACAAGCTCAGGTTTTTGCCACTGCACAAGTGGTGACCCATTTTGGTTCTCTCTCCTGCACTGTTTTATGTTTTTTCTTTTAAAAAAGAAGTGTGCTAGTTGCACAGCCCAGGGGACCTACTCCAGAGCAGCTGCACATACACCTTGAACAGTCTTGCCCTCAAAACAGGATTACAGTGCTGTGACAGGCACTGCAACCATCCTACCATCTGAGCTGTGCAAGAAACCCCAGACTCCTTCCAGAGCCAAATGGCTCTACTGAGAGATGCCAGATGCTAAGGACTGCTCTGTATGAGATATCCTTATAAAATGCTCCCTATTTTATGCTGCCATCATTGTAATAAGGCCAGGGTATAATAATGGGTATCTGTTACTGGTGTGGACTGTTGAAGACAGGGTTAACACTTATGTTAGGAGCAAGAGAGCTCAGGTGGCCCAATGCCACCCCAGTCCTCCACTCCCTGTGGCAATAAAGTTCAGAAGACTGTCCTCACTCCACTGCTTTAGAAAGGGCAGATCTTGTGTGCACACATCAGGCACACGCTCCTGAAAATGCAGCCCCCTCAACGTGCAAATGCTGCACTTCAGGAGTGTTTCTTCCAGAGGATGTTGCAAGAAAAGGTGTGCCAACTGGGCACTGCATCACACTGACCTGAGAATAGTTATGTTTTTAAATCATCATGACTACAAGGCTCCAGGTAATTGCAGCAGTGTAACAAGCTGTATGAACAGGTCTGAGCCTCCCATTCTGCATCTTCTCCAGCCACTAACTCCCACACAAAATGATGCTTGAGGGGTATAAAACACCCCTAACTACCTCCTGGGTACCAAAGAGGCGAGGCAGTGAAGAGCCCGCTCACACAGTGTGTGACCTAATCCCTCACGGGCTGTGGAACAAAACCTGTTTCGCCCCACAGGAGTCAGTGAGCACCTCTCTTGCCAGCACGCCAGCGCGGCCAGGCCGCGGTCGGAAGCAGCCGGGCTGGGAGCCCCGGCACTCACCGTGGAGCCGACTGGTGTTGCTTGCTCTTCCTGGCGGAGGCAGCAGCAGGTGGCTGGCGCATGACGTGAGCGACGCCCACGTTGACGGGCTGGGCGGCGGGCAGGGCCACGTGGCTGGCCAGCAGCGTGGGCTGCTGCATGATGGGGTTGTAGTGGCTGCCGTGGGCGTGCGTGTTCCTGCACAGCGGGGACACAGGCACATGTTGAGAATGCAACTGGCGGCTGCTTGGCAGGCTCCTCCACACAGCCTCCCAACACCCTCCACCCGGGTGCCCTCTCCTCCAGGGCTTGTTGGGTACCCAGCCTTCCCAGGACAGAGGGTTTTCCCCAGGGAACAGGCTGAAGGAGTGGTGTGGGCACAGCATTGCACTCCAAGGGCAGGGAGCAGAGAAGTGTCCCACAGCTATCAGACAGTGAGGTCACAGGCTGCTGCCCTCCTCCCCTCAGCCCTGCAAGAGCCCAGCCCTCATGCCTCCTCCAGCAGCTGTGGGTACTTCAGGGTGCCTCCAAGCACCCCCAGTTTACCTCCAGTCTGCCAGCGGCTGGGTGCCTGCCATGGACTCCGGGATGACGGTCGCGTGCTGGACAGAAGTGTGGGTGGCCACCCCAGTCAGCTGCTGCCAGGCGGGAGGCAGCAGGATCTGCTGAGTGCCACTGGGCCATGCTTGCTGTCAGGAAAAGGGAAAGCAATTCCTTAGCAAAAGGCATCAAGCACTGAACGCGAGCAATGGTCCACGCTCAGCTGGGGCCCCTAATAGTGATCATGGTCATACTACACAGCTCTTACCACCTTTCAGTCACAGAAGACAAACACTGTTAGGAAACCACAGTATAAGCAGGAATAGTTATAAATATAGAGAATGCAAAGCAGGGGGCAAAAAAAATCCTTGCCATACAAAGCAGCAGCTGTGTTTTAGGTTAAACAGGGAATGGAAGGGATCAAAACTTGCTGGCATTTCAACTCAAACACCAAATTTTTTAGCATGTTCTAATTTTGACTCTCCAGATCAGCTGGGCGCTATGGTTCCATTGTTAATTTCCCCTTTCTACATCCAGCTTACTTTTTCAAGAAATGCACAGCTACACATTGCATACCTGTCCTCTCCATGTGTTCTTCAACTTTCCCCCCCCATCCTTAGAGGGTAGAAAATCTCTGCCTTTTGAGTTGAGCCATCATTCTGCTATGCAATCACCCTTCCAGCTGTGCTGCCACAGGCATGACTCAGGTTGTCCTGCTCCAGTGACTCCACGCAAGTCAGATGATTGTTTTTTGGACTTGGGAAACTTTCTTAGCTATGTGGCTCTGGCAGCTTTTTACTGCTGGGCTGAAGAACTCAGGGGTACCAGCTACAGCCCACCTTAGTCCCAACCTGCACTACTGTACTGGACCCATGTTGTGTTATCTCACTGCTCTAAGGAAGCTAAGTTTGAGAGGAGACTTCTTCCAGGCATGCATTTATCCCCTTCCCCACACTCACAACGATTGTATTAACTGTCCCCATGATTCCCTCCTTTCCCCCAGTACATAAACTCCAAAACAGTCCACCCTGCAAAAAAACTTTTTTTCCCAATTCTAATCCTAAGTTTGATCATTTTGTAACTTTTTGTGTTGCTCAGTTACATGAAAAGGCTGCTATGGTGTGGCCTCTCAGCAACATCTGCAAAGGATAGAGAGTCACAAGGCTCCTGAGAGCCCTTCATCTAAGGAGCAACTACCATAGACTGGTGATGCTTGGAGCAGGTAAAAGGATAAGGCAAAGGCACAAAAAGATCAGGGAGGAAAAAAGCATTCTTATTATTCTCTTTTCTTTTTTTACCTCAGCTTTGCTTTAAAAGAGGAGACTGAACTACCGTTGAAGTCAATCCCAGGGGACTACCTGGATTTACTTGCAGACAAAACTGCTTCCTCCCTTTTCAGGAAGGGAATGGAACAAATCTAAGCTCCTTGTCTGACTGCAGTGCATAAATTTAGATGCAGTGTCAGGGCCTAGGCACAAATTCCTCACTTATTAGGTAAGGACCACTGAATCATTTAATCTGCAGATAAGACTTGTCTAGGCTGATCCACCAGCACTGTGTGTTGTGCTTACACATAGAAGGCTTGTCCTGGCAGCTGCAACCTGTTCCCAGCCAGTGCATTACTATGAAATTTTGGTGGGGTGGTGAAGCAATGCTCTGGCCCTTGTCCTCAGGAGCTGGTGGGTCCCCTGGAGTGACCACGCTCATACTCTGGATATGGAGCAGGAACAACTAATGGAGTAACATTTTGGAAGCTAGTGGCAGGACCTCTGTAAGATGTGATGTTGGGAAAGAGTTAAAAGGAGAGAAAATCAAGAATCCAGGATGTTATTCAAGGGCAAGGGACAGTTCTGGGTCACACCATGGAAGCCTGCTGGAAAACTGTGCAGCTTTGCCTCTTTAGAGATCGGAAGCTGCAGTGAGCTGTGAGTAAAGACAGGATCAGTCTCCTTTCACTGGTCTCTGTGCATAAAATATGTGAACCACACTTGCTTGAGAGGATGAAGAAGAGACCCAGAGAAGTTACAAACAAGTTACTTTAGCCAGTGACCCTGCATCTTGCAGGCTGCTTGCTCTGCCTTGCACTGCCTAGCTCTGTGCCACAGGCTGCAGACACACAGCTGCCAGATATGATGCTCAAGCTCTGTCAGTGCCTCCTGCCCTGGATCCCTCTGTCCCTCATCTGGGACAGCTGGTCTGGGACAAAATGCACAGGGAGAACTTGATGCCAGCTGCACTGGGATGCAGTAAGGCTTTACCAGCCACAAGCATCCTGAGGAGTGCAAACACAAAAACCTGTGCTCTGTGTTAGGCAGGGGAGAAAGCCTGATAGTGCTACACAGTTCTGGGAACACAAGGAGCAGCATCATGCTTCATCAGTGGGACAAATAAAGCAGGGGACAGACAGAAGTGGACTCTGGAGGTGCTGCACTCTTTGCTGGGGCCAATCCCTCTCGCAGTTGCAGCAGTCACACGGCCCAGGCTGAAGAACATTAGATAAGCAGCTGTGCATGAGAGGAGCAGCTCTCTGCTGGGAGAGAGACACGCAGCCGCCGAGATCAGATGTGACTACAATGCATCACAAAGAAGCTGTGTTTTTCCATTCAGGAAACTGGAATTGGGTACAGATTTGTTTATCAGACAGCTGCTCAGCCCGAACCAAGCGAGGCCCACGGACACCAGATGCCACCGGCATCAATCAGAGTGTCCTGCCATCAGAGACTGCTTGCATTTCTCATCGCGTGAGACAAACTGGCACAGCAACAGGCACATCTCCTCTCTTTTATTACATCAAAAATTAAAAATCTGTACAAGTGTGGAGTGTTTCTCAGAAACAGTCTGAATTCCCCTTTGGAAGTGACAATGAATGAAATGTCAGTAAAAAGTATGAAAAGGGATGCCCATGAACCGGGTGCTCACGTGGCAGAGGCAGCACTGAAATTGGTAACGTGTGGGCAGGAGGGTGCTCAGGAGGAGCTTTACTACCAAACATTCCTCACTTGCTTAGAGCCCAACAAGGCCACCATGAGAAGAAAAAAGGAGGAGGCACTGAGATCTTTCAGGATCCTGCTGTCTTTGAGATGTTTCAGATCCAGCCCTCACCCCAAAGGACAGCACACCACTGGAGGCCTGGCAGAATGGTGGGGGCATGTAAAGCTAGCATGTAAAGTGACCTCCTTCACTCACTGCCTTGGCTGATTTCTTGAACAAGCAAGAGGTGCCAGCCATTGAGCCTGCATGGACTGCTCCCTGCTTTGCCATGGCTTTTGTTTCCCTGCCTCTCGGGCTCTTCTTTCCCACCAAACAAGGGAAGTGGCTCATGTCAGTTGTTACAACAGGCTGCAGCAGAGATCAGTTTGATGTTTCAGACAGCTCTCTGACAAAGGCTCTTCTATTGGGAAGGGGCAGGGCATACTAGCTGATGGAAATCACACAGACTTCAAGTTGCATTTTGATCTGTCTTCACCAGATAAGTGTGACTGGTGGGTGGTAAAGGAAGGCAAGAGCACCTACAGTCTTACCCCAGCAGTACAACACACAGGCATAAAACCTGAAGTCTGCTGGTTCCTGGCTGCAGATGAAAGTGGCATGGCAGACCAAACAAGCCTGAGACAGAGTTGTGCCTTTGTAATTAGCTGGTCATCTTTTCCAGCTTGCACAACTTAATTTTAAGTATACTAGGTGGTTTTTTTAGGTGTCTTTTTTTCCCTCTCTGGTATCAGCAGAGGTACCATGGTGCCAGCTCAAAAAGAGTTGAGGCAGATTCACTGAAGCCTGCACAAGGAGGAATGAACTCCTCCTCTGGTTTGAGGAGCTGGGGTATCCCTCGAGGATGTGCATGTAATTAGTAATACCCATTCCTGTTTTGCTTTTTTTTTTAGGAGGAACCATGCTTTTCCTATGAGAACATTTCAGACAATTGTGCCAATAAGAATTGCTGACAAGGAGAACTCCTTGAGTGTGGGGCCCTTGCCTCTGCCTCCGACATCTCTCTCATACTTCACGAGCAGAGATCCTCATAAAACAGAACAGTGAAAACTTAAAGCATGAAAGGTATTTATCAGCAGCATGCAACTCATCAGAGCAATTCCTGGCTGTAAACTACCACCAAGACTTTGAGTTCAGGAGGATGTAGGAGGTTATTACAGGTTCCTTCTCAGCAGAGGCCTGACACTGCTTTCCCTAAGGCTTTCCCACATATTTCAGTAGAAAAGCAGAAAGAAAAAGGGTTTTTCCAGTGGCTTTTGCAACTCTGACATAGTCTTTCAGCTGAACAATGAGCTGGGGGAGATTTTGACATTTCAAAGAAAGCTGCAGATCCATATACAGTTGCCCAAGTCTCCAAACTGCACCACAGAAGGCCCTCAGAGAAAGCTTCTCTCCTCAGCCTCCAAGAGCTAAACAACACAGTAAATACCTGCTGAGCCTGGTGCCTTTTCAGTTCCTTACCTGTGCAAGAAGTCCTGGCTGGATCTGAAGAGGCTGGGCCCCAGGAGCCTGAGTGACAATGGGAACGGCGTTCTCCATCCGAACCGAGTACCCAGCGTGCTTCGAAGGCGAGGCTTGTAACCCTGTTCCACCAGCACAGAAGGTCCAGCATAAGCCACCAGCAGCATTGCCAGGAACAGGGGATGGTTCTCAGAGGAGCCTAAAGGCACTCACTGATGTCCACTTAAATTGCAATGTTCAGTCCCTCTGAATAATCAGCTCTCAGAGTGTTACCTGTGCTACCCTGGCCCAAAGATGTCCATCAAATGTTCACAAACATGATACGGGTATAAGGGTGCAGAAAAGACATTTCCAAAGGCACTAAGGGATTAGCTGAATTTGTATTTTAGGGTACCTCAAGCACATAGAAAATACTGCAATATTACAATGTGCACAGGCAGAAAACAGGGGAGTGAATGGCTTCTCTTCCGCATATTCTCTGATTTAACAACAATAAATGGTCTTTATCAGCTAAAATCCATTTCTGTATGAGAATGATCTCTTTACACCACAGTGGGATGGGAATCCAGAACTCCATACTCCCTCAGCCTTGATGGGGAGAGGTGATTTTCTCTAGCACAGTTTCTTGAGACTCATATTTGAAAGGCCCTAGCCCACTCCAAACTCCAACCACTGTTGGCTGAGCCCCACATTAGCCTGAGCTGGAGGAAGCTTCCCTCTCCAGCACCTCAGTGCATGGCACAGCCATGCTGCCTCCTCTACTTTGGACCCTTTTCAAAGTTGCAAGCTGAGGATGGTCACTTACATACTCCACTTCTGAAGTCAAACCCATGAGATGCATTTTAACTACGCTGAGGAGGTCTAGCTAAACTTCTCTAGTTCAAAAGAGCTTTGATAATCTTGCAGAACATTTAACAAGTGCCTGGAGACTAATGCACAGACAGGCTTGTAGAAATGAAGAGCAGAAGTTGCACCAGCTGAACTGAGGTCTATTTAGACCACTTCCTACAGACACTTGGCAAGTTTTCCCAAATTGCTACAGCATGTGAAGTTAACAGAAGGACAAGTGGTTAACACTGAGCATCTCCCAAGTTGTCTGACAATAGTTCCTACTACTAGTATACACAAGCAGAGCTGTTTGCAGCAGGGCTGGAGCTGAGGGAATTATCCTCATAAATGGTTATGGCATCTGTTATGGGGGAGAACCCTCATATCCACCAGCACCATGCTCCCTGCTGCATTACCCTCCCGAGTTCCCCTTTTAGCAATCAAGTCACTGAGAAGTGATGATGACCCTTTACATACATATTTACTGATTTACTGGTATTGTGTGGGAAAGCTTTCAAGTTTACCAAAGTATGGCAGAAGAGTCTTAAACTTTGTTCAGGGCAAAGAATGACAAGTACATATTCTCCCCCATCCCCTTGTCAGTAGCAGCTGCCTCCAACTCAGTCTGTTAGAGGTGCCTGCAAGACCCTCTGCCAAGGCAAACACTTCCATCTGCAATAACCTCGCTGCTCTGATTTACTAGGCCAGCCCTTTTTTCTGCCACATGACCTGCACTGAGGAAACTCATTTCCAACAAGAGCTGGACGAAGCAGTGGGCCAAGAGCTGGTGAGGTTGTGACTTACCTTGGAAGCCTGGTGGGCAGACGATGAGGGCTTGCTGTAAGGGGTCTGGCCGGGCACAGATCTGCGCTGTTCCCGTCTGCAGGGGCATGCTCCGCTGGGCCACCGCAGCCATGGACGCCGCTGAGGGCTGGTAGAGTGCAGATTGGTAATTTAGTATGGAGACCTCGGGGTTGGCTAAGGAAATAGTGGCACTGGAGGAGGTGGGAGCCAGGTTGGTGGTCTAAAGGAATGACGGGAATTAAAACAAAAAACAAACAAAAAAATGAGGGAGATGGGTACGCTGGAAGAAGCAAAAATCCAAAAAATAATAAAGTAAAATAGTGTAAGATAAAATAAAAACCAAGACAAAACAGCAAACAAGGGGGAGAACAGGACACTGAGGAATAAAGAGACAAGGGGGAAGGATCACAATCTGCCTGAGTGCGCCATGGCCGTGCCATGCCACGGGACCCCCGGCCACGCTGCTTGTACTGCTCAGAGACACAGCACATTCCTTACAGCAGGACTGCAGCCCCATTCCTCACCCAACTGGCTCTGATTCACAGCATGCATGATCAAGATGAGCTCAGAAACTGTTGCTATCCACAAATCACACTGTTCACTTGTCACATATGTAGCTCTAGAAGCTGCTCACATTTCTTAGGTAAAATAAACTCAGCACCTCCATGCCCTGTGAATTCTCATCCTGAGAAGGAAAATCCATCCTTGTCTTTCCTCTTAGATACCTTGTATCTAAGATGGGACATGCCCCTTGAATTATGTTTGAAATTTGAAGTACTCAGAAGGCATAACAGGAGGTAATGCTAATACTTGCAAAGTCCAAACTTTACTTAAATTGTCTTTAAAATCTCTTAGAGCAGGAACTCCAGTAGGGGATGTTTCAAAGCCAAAAAATCAGCCCAGAGTTCTGCAAAAATCTAGAAATCTGAAGACTTTTTTTTTCTTTTTTAAAATTTGGACTGGGTCTAATTGTTGCAAGCAAGGTCTGCTAGTGCTCCAAATATATGTTCTTAACATTTATGCTAGGGAGCCAGACACTACCAAATCAGAGCCCATCCTTCCCCTCTGTCCAAATACGCCAGCAACACTGCTGGAGTCTGATCAGACAAAATTTTCTCATGGTGAATGTACGAACCCAGGAGGAGGCTTTGATCAGGAGAGAGCAGACCAAGCATTTTGCACTGCCCTGGTTGCCACTGGACCTACGCTGCACTGCCACAGCCATGAGGGATGTGACAACAAAATATTTCTTCCTTCTCCTGATCCCCCCTCAGGGCAGGGGCTGTGAAGTGCAATCTGCTCTCCTGTGCAACACTCTGAGCAGCAACCACAGCAGCTCCCATACTCGTAATCGCAGAAGCCATAACTGGAAGGAGGCAATCCCCAGATATTTTGTAGAGACAGGAAACAAAAAGAAAGCCAAGACAAGTGGTATGTTGAAGAGAATTGTGAAAGACTTAGAGCTTGTTCAAATTAAAATACCCTTCCTGGAAATATTTCTTCCAATTCTTCTAGGAACATTGGGCATACTGGTTCTGCTCAGAACAACACAACCCTTATGAGAATTCAGAAATGACCATGGATCTCCCCAGCCAACAGCTGAACTTAATGTCAAGTGAAATGCAAGGAAATGAAAGCAAGTCTGCCTTTCCTACAAGTAACTGTGGTACAAACAGTGTCTCTGCCCTGCAGCTGGGACCTAGGGGAGCACATAGCATGCATTTCTTTAGTCAGCATCTCAGAAACAGCCTAGAAAGGGAACTGGTGTTTGTAACTAGTACCCTCTCACACCAAGTCATGACCTATCTCTATCTGTGCCTGCCTGAATTGTTTCAAAAGGCCTTCTGTGATCACATGTATCAAGACCTGAGTCAAGAAGTCTGGTTTTTTCACTGACACAGGAGCATCCTGCACATCTGCACAGACTCCTTTAGCTCCCTGGCTTTCCAAACACCATTTCCGCAATGCCACCTGCAATCTCTAGAGTGAATCATGAGCAGCCTGTTCCCAAAAGGCTTCAAAGCAGCAGCTATTTCTTGAGCTTCAGTCTCTTAGAGTGTTCTCCCTGGGGAGTTTCCTTTTGCTGCTGTAATACAGTATCACAGCAACTTAGCCTGTTAGTCACATCAAATTTGCTAACGCAGCAAATTTGCCCCAACACTGGGGCAAGTAAAACTAATACAATGCATGATTATAAAGCCAGAGCCTACCAAACTGGAGTGCAATGTGTTCACAGTGGGGGCACATGCACATTGTCCCCACATCAACTGTGGCCCCTGGAGTAAAAGCAATGACAGATAAGAATAAATATTAATGCTAAACTCTTCTTTCCTGTTGATCAGTTACAGTGCTGTGTCTGTTACAGAGGGTTTAAACTCATTTTACTTCAATGCCAATTTGAAGAAGAGATGTAAGATCACAAATACTTCTGCCTGACCCAGGGAGTGAAGTACTGCTTGCTGCATTAAGGGACTAATGAGCTTTTCCCCATAGCAACCTCCCAAGCAAGCAGGATTTATCACCCCAACAACAATGTAAACAACGAAGGCAACATTTCACCATCACACAAAATGTCACAAGATTACTGCTTGCCTGAAGAAAAGAGAATGAGGAGAAGAGCAGAGGAAGGAGAGTAAAAGGCACCATCTCTTGGCAGGCATGTTAAATAGGATGCTACTTTGCTTTTCATCTTCTAGGCCCTCCTGACATAAATGTTTAAAGCACTGGCTGCTTGTGATTGATGCCCTCACCTGGTTGTGGACTGTGTTGAGCTGGTTGTTAAAAGTCATGGTCAGGTTGGTCGATGTACTTGGGGCTACGTGGGTGATGAATGGTGTCTTGCTCTGGTTCACCGTGTCGTACATATTCACCCGCCGCTTGCAAATCTCCATGTTCTGGAAGCAGGACTTGACACTGCGCAGGGAAAGAGGGGCAAGGAAGGCAGAGAAAATCAACCAAGCGTCTCACACAGCTAACAGTTCATCACAGTGGCCCTGCAATAGGTCTCCATGGCAGGCTAAGCACTTTCTAGGCTCTTAAACCCCTTTGCTGTTGTATTCAGGTTTCTCTTAACCGGTGAGAGTCAGATTAACACTGTACTGACAAATGCCAAGCTGAGAGCAGCTGCCCTGGGACTCCTGGGTCTCCCACAAATTTCTGCACTACAATACAAGTCACAAATGAAAGGAAATTGGTTTCTCCTTAGGGGACAGGGCAAGAAATACAAAGTGGCTATATATTAAAAGACTGAAAGAGACTGAAAGCCAGAAAGAAAGATACTGTTTTTTTCATGATGATGGAGCCTGAGAGGAAAAGAAAACTCATGCTTTTTGCCTCAGTTTAAGTGTAAATTAAGATAGTTTTACATGTCTTTTGCAAGGAAGAATTTTACTGTTCTTGATCACCGAGACCCCCTAAAAACTCATCCTTGTTCCTTTAAAGCAGTTGTTTGCTAACAGCTGAGTCCAGCTAAGCAGTTAAAACATTGCCCCTGTCTGGCTAAACGCTTGTGCAGATGCTTATCTTGAAGTATGACATATCCTCTTGCAGTCAATGGGACAATTCATATCAAAAAGTTATTCCAAAGCAAATTCCTCAATGCCCTGAGGGAATCTGGCTCTGAGGTTATCTCACACTGAGAACTGGATCTCTGGGTGAATGATTACATCTTCTTCTCCTACAATGACTTTTCCTTAAATGTTATTGATATAGCAATATAAATTTTGAGAAGTATCCTATTTTGTGCCCTAGTAAAGGAAATTAAATTCTCTCTGCATTGCTAGAGCACAGTAGGCATCTGGTAGATGAAACTGTTCATATTTCATTAATTAGAATACCAAAGCATACAGAGGTTAAGAGTCAACAACACAGTGAACCTGGGCAACACTTTATTTTTAGTATAACTCACTTCTGATATCTGAAAACCAATACATGTTTTCCACAATTCTTCCACAATAACTGTTATTACAAATGTAACCTCAGAGTCTGAAACATAACCTCAGAAAGTATAAAGGCATTTATTTTATTTCTATTATCCCAACATGGAGAAAGAGAAATTCCAAGCAGCAAAAATTGGCTGTATGCTGAGCATTTTGTAATGATCTAAACTGTTTAAGGTAAGGGGTACATCCTCACATCACTTTTAAGAAACAGTGTCCCTTTAAAAGGAACAAACATCTGTGATCCCTAAGGTTGATGAAGAGGACCTAGATCTTTTTATCCTTGTCTTGTCTCTTACTCAAATGGTCACCTCTCTTATCCTACAGGTAATATCTTTGTAACTCGATCTGGGCCATAAACACCTGCAGACAAGCCAGGCTCAGGACACTGTGTACAGCTGCCCATTATGTGCATTCACTTCCAGAACTATACCTGTTGGTCACAGAACATCCAGCAAAATCAAACACTTATCAAATAAATGCAGAAGGCTATTGGATCACTTCTTTTCAGTCAAGTATGACTATAATTCTCCCTGCACAAAGAAGAAAGCAGTGGGAAGAGTATAGGCTCTGTACATGGTGAATAGTATGTGTTACTAAATGGTTTTGTCTAACAAGATGTAAGCTCTACAAATGCAATACCATGTTCTCTGGCTTTACTTTCAAAGAAGGTGGGAGCAAAAACCAGCAGGGACAAAGTAAAACAGACAGAAAGTCTGAGGAGTACTCAGCAATTTAAGAGCCAGGAAGTTAAATATGTGAAACGGGAAGCTAAGCTCACTTTGCTTGCTCCTTGTAAGAAAGCAGAACAGCCCCTCCTGCACTGTTTGAACTTGCAGCCTCTCTGAAAAGTGCCACAGCAGAGATTCCTACCAGAAGCTTCAGCTTCCATATATTCTCACTTTTTCTCCTGCCCAATTTATTTTCAAGAGAGATTACAGCTCCCTGCATCTTTCAAGGCTTTGAAGTTTCTATTCTCTAAAGCACAAGTAATCACAGAAAAAAGTTCCATCCACTTGCCATGCTGGTTACAGCTTATTTCTCTCTTTGCCAGTCACTGTTTCCAGCATGGAGGGGCTTGCAGGGTTACACACCCAGCTGGCACACACTTGGTATTCAGAGATGTGATGCTGAATTCTTTATTTGGCTAAAATTCTCACTGCTGTTGGCCCCAGTGATATTTTCAATCTTTCTGGGGCTTTGAGCAGCCACAAGTGAACACTTCAGAAATGAAGATGTGGTTATGGACTGTAGCATTAGTGGAAGGATTTCTGATGGCAATGCATTATGTCACAAATCTCTCCTATCTTACACAATCAGTTGTTGCACAGTCTGAAGGACTGCTGCAAATTAAAATACTTTTGTCTATGATCTTCACTCAGTATTTTTGCTGTCATATTTTATTCATGATTTTTTTTATATGAAACTTTACTTTTTTCCTGTTTAGCACAATCATATCCCATCTTGTTTTCATTTATCACTTACTATCTATTTATAGGTAACAATGCTCAAAGATGGCTGTGCAGGCTAAGTCTGGGTGTACACAGATCGTGCACCCACTACCTTCTGGCAAGCAGATGCTCTTATCTTGTGATAAATGTAACAAAAAGGCAGCTACAGCTCCTTTAAAGGGGTAAAGCTACCTTAAACAAACTCAAAATACTGCAGCCTCCCATGCAGGCAGGAGAGCTGACACAGTTACTTGTTGCTCTGCAGCACAAAAACACACTCTGCAGCTCTTCAAGCAGCCCCCTTTAATTTTGTACCTGAGCTCCTGACAGCCTCTAAAACACAGAAGTGGCACCCAATGAAGTACAGCACTGTGCCAATAATTGTTCTCCTGTCAAGGGGAAGGGACAGCCTGTGAAAGCACCTGGAACTGCCAAGTGCTGTAAAGCAGGATGTTCAAAGCTAAGTGTCCTGAAGGCTTTGCAAAACTCCCACTATATGTCAGCCTTCTCCACTTACACCTGAGAAGCCTGTTCCCCTATGTGAACTGGACATGGGCAGTGGGTTGGGGACAGGCATCCTGCATTTCAGGCTGCTGTGCTCTGTGGTGCAGCCTTAGGAGAAGGGCAGTCAGGCTTGAAGACATGATTTCTTCTCATCTCCATCAGGCGGTGGAGCCTGTCCTCATTCTACATGTGTCAGATGAGGTCAGAACGTGATATTTAAGGTGACACAGATGGACAACAACCAAGCTTAAAAGTTAACTCCTCATCCTGGTGCTTATGCCTATAAAACAGCCTGCTGCAGAACAGCTCTTCCCTTAAAAAGCAAACAGCCCCAAGCTGACTCCTAGTGCGATGGGAAGGTTCTGGGAGGAAGGGCTGGCTCCTCACTGCAGATAAGGAGATAAGGTTGATTACTCCAGTAACAATCAGGACTATATTACTTTGAAATAGACTGATACTTTCAGCACTAATTGCATAATTTCTCCTGCATTTTAATGCAAAAATATGTAATTACTGAATATTTACATAATTAATGTAGCACACAGTGCAGCGTTTTAAATGCCAAGCACCTACAACACAATTCTTGCAACCTTGAGTTGGCAATCGTCTTTTTTTTTAAGCAGGAAAAGATTAAAACGTAAGGATTAAACATCTTAACAAAGCCCCTCAGATACACTTTGTCTCCACCACAACCAGCTCTTCTTTTCACCCCTCAGTTCAAAACCCAAGGGGAACAAAAGCCACGTACTGTGTGCTGTGAGGGAAGTCGAGCAAGTGTGTCATGGTGACAAAAGGGTGGCTCAGAGTTTCAATGGGTGTTATCCTCTTATCCGCGTCTATCGTCAACATCTTCTTTAACAGATCTATGAACTCCCTCCGGTCTGCCTTTTCCACCAACATATCGCTTCCTTCCAAATCCGTCGTCATGTTTACCTAAAGGAGAAGGGACAGGAGTGAGAGCAAAGGGGAAGAGCAGATGGCCAAGTGTCCAGAAAACTGTGTTTACTCCTCCATGGAGCACATGCCCTGCCAGCCTCCCTGTCTAAAGGAGTAGCTGCTGAAGAGCCACGCCAGACTCCGTGGTGGCCACTCATCTGGCTTGTGCATGTCACATCCCCAGACAGACTGTTAAGTGTTCAGCTCGCCTGGGTCAGTGGCTAATGAAACACTTAGTCACCCTCCACTGAAGATGAACAGCTTCCATGTGGTACCAGGCAAGCTCTGATAATCACAGTATTTATCATATACTGTGCCATCAGATATTTATATATGCGTCCTATGAGCAAAAAATATATAAAATACATAAAAATTGTCAGTAGGTTTATGAGAAACATCCCATTCATGTATCAGGTCCCAGGGAAAAAAAAATACTTGTTCTATTATTTCATTAATTATCCAGTCTCCTCAGATTCGAGTCCTCCATTCCTGCACGTTTACATGTTTTACTTGCTACAACATCTAGACCTTGCTAGCACAAACTCCAGTTTGGTGCTAGTGGTGGATCAGTTTTGCACACTGGTTTGTCAGCACAAACTCCTGTCACAGGAGTGGTTATGCTGGGATTAGCTCTCACGACATGGACCTGACACAGTGAATTAGTGCTTCCCATTCTTCCCCCAGCCAGCCACGTTTTACAGCAAGCACATTCTTCTGTGGCCATGGTGAATATTTCCACTGTCACGCTTTAACAAATGGAAATATTAAAGCACAGAGAAAGCAAGTGACTTGCCAACAGTCATACAGAAGAGCACTGGAGAGACAAGAGAAAATGCAGGATTTCAACTCTCAGAGACGTGCCTTAGCCACTTTCCAAGGCTGCTTTACTACAGCACACATCCCCCTGTGTGCAGTCACTCCTACAAAGCAGCACGTAACAGTGAAGTTGGTAGGCATAATCCTGGTGTTTTTCAGGAGCTGGCCGCAGAATAGGATACACAGAGAACTTCCATAATTCCCTTTTCTTAGTGTTGCTGGAAAGTATGTGAACAGTCTTGCTGGTTACTCACCAATGCTCTTACCTGTGCCATATCATCCAAACAGTTGAAAATATACTTTCTTGCTTCCTTTGACTTAATCCCCGTCTCTGCCTCATGATCATCTGGTGTCTGCTCAAAACAGGACACGGGCATTAACCAACACTGCCCTGCAACCAGGGCACATTATGTGCCACTTCCCACATGTGCCTCATCCTGTCCTTATCAGGGACCATCATGCCTCTCTTGCCTGACCAGACACCATTTACATGATCTCCACCATGGTTATGTGACACCTTTTATGTCTCAAGGTGATTTATCTCTTCTATTTCACTTCTGAGGGTCCTCCCAACTATGGTGGTCTCTTACATCCACCCTGGCATTACGTACAGCATCCCATCCCAGCCAGAAGCCCACTGGCCTTTCTCCTTGGGGACAGCATGCAGCCAAACCCACTGGCATAGGACACTCAGGGCCCACCTGCTTTACTAGAGGTTTTGACTGTAGAATTAAAATGCTTGCCTTTTTTTCTCCCCACACTGAGTTAGAGCAAAGTCTGCCCACTACACACCAAATCACTGACTACTTAGAGGGAGATTTCCAGGTCAACTCTGGACTTAAATTTCCTACATTGCAATGCCAAGCAGGTGTATTATAAGCTCAAAATTTTGGGGATGTCAGTTTTACCTTGGGCAGTACCCACCCCTATGTCTGTGCTGCAATGCAAGTAGAAACTTAGGCTCTGAGGTGACCTGAATGTCTCTTCCCATCCAACCAACAACTGCAAGGTAAAAGAAACAAGGGAATGTCTTCCTACCTTCAGCCTCCACAAGGGATATGGTGAGTCTGTATCCCTGTTGAAAAACCTCGTTGTCTTTGTCCCTGCACTTAACAAATACTCTGCTGGTAAGCCCTGCGTCTGTGAAATGTAGCGAATCTGTAAGAGAAGGATGAGAGGTCACTGTTCGTCCTGTGGAGATCTCTGGAGGTTTTCCTTGAAGGAGTTCAGGAGGCATTTGAGCCAACAAAAAAAGAAGATGTAGCATGTAGAGAAACTTCACCCTGAAAAACTTAGTGCAAGGAATTAGAGGAAGAAAATTTCTGAATGGAGTTACCTCCATTTATCACATACATCACTGGAAACTCACCCTTGGAGTGCACTCCCACAAGGCCTATGGATGAAAAGTGGAAAGTTCCTAAATGTTTAAAGTTCAAAGAGAAGGACCCACACAGCAATTTCAATGGCATGTCTCAACACTTTGCACCCTCTTCTCTCCAGGAAGTCATTTCAGCAATTTGATATTTGCTCTCTAACTTTTGCTGATTTTTCTCAATTTTCTTCCATCTGAGAACACAACCTGTCCTAGGAACAGTTTGAAGTTCCAAACAGAGGATTATGAAGTGACTGCCTTTGAACTAAGGTGAAATATATACTCAAACCAACTGACGTCCTCATGGTATGGAAAGTACTTGTCTCTACTGACTACATGATGTTATTTGGGTTGCATCCACAAGTCTGACCTCATTGGCACCCATAGAGCTAAAAGATACTCCATTTGTGTTTCCAGGATTTCAAACCTTTATTTATTTATAAAGGAGAAAGAGTCTGTGATTACAGAATTAAAGACCGATGTCACACATGCCTGAGGTGCCACACACAACCTTAACTTTGGCACCTACTGACTCCTGCATGGCTTCATTCTGCAAAATTGCTGCAAACTCTGCAAAACTATTAAAACCAGTCACCTACTCTCAAAAATGCTAGGGAAGAATGGAAAGTGTTTTTGAGAGAAGAAACAGAGAAGGATAAAAACATTAACAAATTGAAGGCATAAAAAGCAGCCGTGCTTTCAGTCACTTCCAAGTACTCAGGTCCCAGTTCACTGTGCATGGCTTGTTCAGCTCCTCAGAGCTCACACACTTGAGAGGCAGCAGGATCCTGCCTCCAACCCAGTGCCAGTGCTGCAGCCAGCAGCCAGGATCAGCTCCTATCTCTTTCCCAGCTCCCCAGGAGCCCCTGTCACACTTTACCAGAGAAAGCTTTGTGCTGGGCAGTTAAGCTGGCCAGTAAGGTATTGGTGATTTCTTTTCCAGCTGTGTGTTTTATGGCTTTTGGGGTGTAATGGGGAAGGGAAAGAAATCTACTTTTCATGCTTGGTATGTGATTTTCAAACAGTTATAAGTTTCTCAGCTAAATTTGATTTCCTTTAGAGTCACTAATAGCCCTGCTCTTTGCTGTAAGTTATTTCCCCTGCCGAATTTTACCTTTAGTGCTCTGATTAAAAAAATACTGGTTTCAAAAGAAAAGTCAAGAAAATATTTCAGTATGTGAAAAACTTATGTATTTTTCTGCCTTTTTTTTTTTCCCCTTTCTTAAACATTTTTTTCCTAAAAGAAAAAAGACGCTTTTCAGGCTGCATTTGCAGACAGCTAAGATCAGCCTCAAGAATACTATGGGAATGCAAAGTATTCTACAGCCCTGGCTCTAGCTGCCGCTGCATTATCAGTTTTAGGACTACAAAAAGGGCATAAAAGCCTATAGGGAGAAAAGGGACGACAGCTTATATTAACTGGAAACCTACATCAATGCCAACGTTCTCCTTCTTGTCATTGCTTTTAATATGCACTCTCATAAAAGGGGTTATGAAATGCAGCTGAGTTCATGCAGTTTCTTCTAACAAATAAGGCTTTATACTGCACTTGCTGTTACAGCAGAGAACGGGTGCCTGCTCTGCTCAGTGAGGAGGGACATGTACAGAGCTCTTCAGTCAATGGCAGCGTTGAATCTTCATGGAGACTTCACTCAAGTCTTTTAAAAGCCAGCATGCCAAGCTGCACACTGGTTACCTGGAACAAATACCCAGGTGGATAATGACAATGTTGACTTGGGAGAGCTAGAATTACAGATCCATCATTGGCAAAAGTGAAAAAGTTGGCATTCGCTTACTCTGACAAGAGAAGGGGAAAAGATGTGTGCACTTACCAGCACCCAGGGCAATATCCACACCCACCTGATCATACTCTGAAGCTCCTGGGTACAAGGGCCAGCCCAAGAACAGCTCTGCAATGACACATCCCAATGACCACATATCGATTGCTTCACAAAAGGGTAAACCGAGGATGATTTCAGGGGCTCTGCAAAGGAAGAGGTTAGAAAACATCAGCAAGGGGAGCAGAGCTCTCAGCGGGTGTTGGGCAGCTGGTGCCCTTTGTGACACTCACAGAGCTGCCACCAACAAGTGTCACTGCTCTGACAGAGCTGGGGGACACACTGGTCACTGGCACAGTGCCTGCTAACCAAACATTAGTCGGTGAATATTTAGCCTTACAGAAGAGTACTGTGGCCATATACAGCCAAGAGACAGCCCTACATCTGGCAGCATTTTGTAAAGAAGGGAACTACAACTGCTTTCATCCAGCAAGTGGGATTATGAAGGCACCCAATCAAGGCCCCCACTCGAGGCTCTCAGGCCCAGCTCCCTGTCCTGTGGAGAACTGTGCAGATCCCCTGTTGTGAAGCATCCTCTGTTCACACAGCTCCGTGGGTTCACAAGCAGCCAGACATTAAATAATCATTACAGGACTGGTATAAAAGGATTACTGACTTTTTAAACAAATGGCTGTAACAATAAAACAAATAAATAATGTAATTAGATCTATTAGACCTAAGCCTTTTCCTCAGGAAGAAGTAGCCAAGAAGCCTTCCTTTCCCAGTCTGTCCCAGGCGCCTGATTAGATTTCTTTTTCACTTTCAGCCCAAACAGCCAAAATGCAGCAGCTCTCTGGCTATGCATTTATTGCTGGCTCCTGGAGATGCCACCAAAGCACCTCTGCTCCCTCCTCTTCCAGGAGGAATCTGTCCCACTGCCTTGAGCTGCTTGGAATCCTCCTCCACTGATGCTGACAAGGTCTGTAGGATGAGGTTAGACGAACTTGCTCAGCTCCAGTGGCCAAGGTGAGACAAGATGAATCCTGACCTATGTGCCCCAAACATTCTGCATTTCAAAAACTTCTGTGTGAAAGAATCAAAAATATTTCCCAAATACTGAAAACCTTATACACACAAACACCTTCCTTACTTATCCCACTTCTGCCTAGATGTCCACATGCAGTTATATGACACAGCTCCTATTTATACAAGGATCTCCTAAAGCTTCTCTCCTGTTCTTGCAATGCTTCTAAAGCCCCAGCTTTTGGTTTCATGGGATGTACAGCAGGAAGAATAACTTACTTGCCCATACTCCTCTAACTATAAAGAAAGAAAAAGCAAAAGACAGATAAAAGAAACACACACTGCCTTAAATCTTTCATCATTTTAAATATAGCCTTGGGATTTCTCAAGCTCTTATGCATATTTTGGAAATGCCTGAGGTTGGCTATTGAGCAAATGAAGTGCCACCATCCAAAGCTCGAAATAGGACCCATGGTTCCCAGTTCCCCATTTGTCATCAGGATAAGATCTGACACTAGTGAGATCATACTAAGGATTACCAATTGCAGTGGAAAATATTATGTTTTAATCACGCCATTATATAGTCATGTCAAGACAAGTATTTAGCCAAGAAACCAAGCAAAATGGTATTTTTTTTCCAAAGAAGCAAAGACCCTGTAGCAAGAATCCATGCGCCACAAACCCCCTTAGTTTTGAGGGGACTTGTAATGATAAAAGTCCCAAACTACTTCTTCTTAAACCAGCAATGCAGAACGTAAAAACTTACAGGAAATTCTGAGATTTCAGAGTTCTTAGTGTCATTCCCACAAAACAAAACAAAACACCAAAAAAAACCCCAAAACAAACAAACAAACAAACAAACCCCAAAAAACAAAAAAAAACCCCAACAAGTCAGAAACTTAAAAAGTAGCTAACTTTAGTCCTTCTAGCTTCATCTATGCTTATCATTGTCATATCCTTGTGCTCTTTAACCCACTGTGACAAACTCTTTATTCTAACAGCAATCTCTCCTCATGAACAAGGGGTTAATTTTCCTCTTTTCCTCCCTATTCCGTCATCCCTGTCATCCCTACACATTACTCGACACCTAGACAAAATGCAGAGAGAAAAAGACAGCTATGGTGACCTGAATCTCATTACTATGTAAATCCTGCATTCAAAGCCATCTGCCTCTCCCTGCCTGCCTTCCACATTGTGAACGAAATGTCCCTGGTCACTAATGAGAGCTCAGCCACGAATCGCCTCAACTTCAAATCCCTCCCACTAACTCAAGAGGAGGGGTGGACTACAGGGATATTCCCAACATGATTTTTTGTGGAAAACTCCTTGTGCATAAAAATCACTTGCAGTGCTGTCATATGCAGCACACATCTCCCTTCCTCTCTCCCCACACTTGTGCTGCCAACACGTTCAGACCCCTGCTAGAAGGGATGACCTAGAATTTGAGGTTCCAAAATCTCTTAATTTTTTTTCTCCTGAGTCTTTGGCTGTCCAGTGGGTTTTCCTGAAAGCTCCACTTTCTGGAGTGCAGTAATAAGGAGAGAATTTCTTTTTTACATGCAGAAGAAGTTTTCCATCTTAGCTATTGGGAAGAAAAGCACAAATCTTATGTCCATATTATTTAAACACAAAGAATGCAACTAAATAGAACACCACTCATTCTATGAATTCTAACAATGGTGAGAATGTCTGTGAGAAGGGGCTGGATTGAGGTGATATGGTGCCTTATGTACACCACAGCCACCACTTACTGTGGTGGCTTCATGTAATCAGCCTTCATGTAATCATCGTGATTTTCCATGGAGAGGGAGTGACCCTAAGACAAAAAGATCTTGTTAATTAAATAATCATTAGGACACCTCAAGAACAACAGGTAGTGGACACCACACAGGATTCCAGATTTTCAGCCAGCAGATACCTCCTGTTTGCTGTGGGAAAGAGGGAGCTGCAGTCAGCAGGAGCAGTGCTCTGCCTGTTTGTAAAAAAGAAATGGCCAATGCCAAGCATTTTGGTGCAGGATGCTACGAGCTCAGTAATGAAATAACCTGTCCACTGATAAAATACCTTTGAATCTCCACTGTGGTAGATATCATTCTTTATACTCAGTTATGGATGCATACATCTTTCTGCACATGGTATCTAACATGTGCAACTCCTCTCTTTTTTAACGTAAGTATGTCAATTTTTAAAGGCAAGGTGAGATCTTGACTTCCATTGCATGTTGTGGCACAAAGTTCCACATGCAACCTTCTTCTTTCAGTAGCATCTTAGCTCAGCTGTTTAAAGCTTGATTTTCCTTCACCAGGTTTACATTTGTCACCTCTCACTTTATGTTCACATAGATTGGTCTAAAGGTGAAGATGGAAGTGATTGAATCACCTGTCCTTTACCACAAGCTGTTTTTACATCTCTGCCCTGTTCTTCCTCGTCTGCAGCAACTTCTGCCTTCTCAGTGTACCATCCCATGGATGTTTCAATCCACTTCCACTGCCTGACCCTGCAACTCCTCTTCCTGACTGCTTGGAGACAGGCTGAACAGACCTAGAAAGAGTTAAACACAAGGATATTCCCCAGACTTATTTTACACTATTTGCAGAATGCTTTCGCGTTCCAGTCTTCCCTAAGCTTAATATTTTGTTTGCTTTTGGAGTGACACAAGGCATTTCAGCAGATGTTTTATCTGGGAGATCCTCTGAGACACACAGTACTTTCTCCCGAGAAGCTGCAGTTAATTTAGGACACAGAATTATGCAGAAATAGTTCATTTTTTCTCTTCCAGTGTTTACTGCCTTTTGGTACTGCACTGATCTGGCATAATGTTTTCTGTAATCTAGATCAAGTCCTTTAAATGCCCCTCACTCTTTTCTGCAGTCTAACCTAAGCCAGTATGTGATAGCTGCATGTTTAAACACTTCACTACTGGTCCAGCACTTTTTACAGATAATTAATACATTAAATAACTCTTGTCCTAAAATGTGCATGCAGTCCACTCCACAAATGACCCTTGTTTTCCTAAAAGCACTCAGATTTATCTCAGCAATAAAAATGGTGTAATTCTCTTTCCCAAAAGGAAAGAAAACAGTATCCATGTCCTAAACAGTCCTTGTGTGGGATTTCTCCATTCTGCAGCTGCTAGCACTGTGTAACAAGGGAAAATGCACTATGAAAGTGTGCACATCCGAGTATTGCAATCATAAATTGGAAGGACGATTCACACGGCAGCAGATCCTCCCAAACAGCACTGAGATCTTCAGCAGATCTCTCCATGACTGCACAGAGAAGTATTTTCTGTACCAACAATACAGGTTTTTTAACACAGACTCACCAAACCTTTCGACTGTGGTGAGGGATCTTGTCTGACAGCACACAGTGGAGCCAGCTGCCAGATACCTCAATACATGCAAGAACATCCCCATTTCCCACCCTCCACCCATTGCTTGGCTGTGCATCTGCACCACTCCTGGCACAGTAACTCCTGCCTCCAGTACAAGGCACGCAGAAGGAAAACATAAAACTTTGCCCTCCTGTCCTTCCTCTCCCATGAGCTGCCCTCAATGTCTTCCAACAAAAGGCACTCCCCTTCGGCATGCACAGGCACAACCTGTTCTACAGCTCACACAAATCACACCAGCACAGACCAAAGGTTTAGAAGCCACTTGCCACCAGCCTGGGGAAGACTGAAGAGCCCTGCCAAGAGCCTCTATCTCCAGGACAAAAGCAGCCATCCTAGCCCCACTTCCCACACCTCCTACCTGCTTCCAACCAAATTACTTGCCTGGACAGCAAAGGGTGACCTGCTTCTCAGCTCAGCAGTGAGTCCAGTCAGTGCCCCATCCTTTGGAGCCCAGCTTGAATGTGCCTGTGTACACCAGAGAGCTGCCAGTGCCAGTGCCCCAGCACACCAGGGTCCCCGTGCTGGCAGCACCAGCAGGTCCCCAGAGGCAGAAATGCCATCTCACCATTTGCTTGCACCTCACACATGACCCTGTCTTGCTTTCAGGCCTGCTGCTGGCAGAGTATTTACTTTAGCAACCCTGCTTTGTGGCAGGGTAATTTCATTGTCTGGTGTTTCTGTCAGGAAAATTAATTACTAGTCTAGCTTGCTGGCTTTTTCACCCACACATCACAGGACATTAAAAACAAATGCCAAAAAAATTCATTTCCACAGACTTGGATTAAGAGA